AGAGCCTGCTGGCCGCCTGGCTGGGCAGCGAGGACGCGGCCTTCGTGCAGTACCACCTGCGGCGCAGCACCGGCACCCTGCTGGCTCACTCCCTGCTGCCCCTGGGTGAGCCCCGGCAACGGGACAGGGGCAGGGGGGTCCCCAGGGGCGGCCTCAGCCTGGCCAGGGGGGGACGGGGGAACCCGGCGGGATCCCCGGCCGGGCGGAGCTTGGAGGGTTTCCTCCCCAGTACCCGCGGGTGTGGAGGAATCGGGTTAAACGTCTTGGAAATAGCAGTGTTTTAGTCTCTTCTCAAAGCTTCTTCGCGACGTACACGCTTTGTAACTCGTTGGCTGCCTTGGAGGATGCGTAGCTGCAAAGGAATGGCGTGGGTTGTAGCCAGCAAATTCAGACCGGCTTGTTTTAGCCGTAGAATTCTGCTGGAAGGAAGTGCCATCGTACAGGTGGTTTTATTTGACCTGCACATTCAAATCGGCTTTATTTAACTGCATAGTTTTGGTAAAAAATTTAGCACAGACTGCTTAGAGAAGGCTTGTGTTTGAGCTGTCGTGCAGCAGCACAGGAGCTGTCCTGGAAGCTGTCAGCTCACCTGGCTAGATAACTGTATGAGTCAGTGTTTGTGTGTGTACTTCATTGCTTTCTGAAGGTAAGGTGTTTTTTTTTTCCTTGCAGGTTATTACCTCGGTATGTGCTTTGCTGCACCTGAGAAACATCTTTGTTTTTTCTACCTGGCCTCAAAAGGATGGAAAACTTTCTTCTTCTTTGCTGTTCTCCTCCCAGCAGTTGCCGGTGCCCTGGCATATTACTGGTCACGGAAAGGTTGGGATAATCATCCTCTAGCCCGAACGCTGGCTGTTCATGCTCTCCCACAGTCGGGTTGGAGGGCAGTAGCTTCTTCCATCAATACAGAATTTAGGAGAATTGACAAATTCGCTACCGGAGCCCCAGGAGCCAGGGTGATTGTTACAGACACGTGGGTGATTAAAGTGACCGCCTACTGTTTACACGTTGCCCAGCAGCAGGACATTCATTTGACAGTGACAGACTCCAGACAACACGAACTCACCCCAGACTCAAATATGCCTGTCCAGTTCCTCACCATCCGCGTTGCCAGTGTGAATCCCTACGTGAAGGCATTTGATATCCGGTAAAACGACTGCCCTCTCCTCATAGATATATGCTCTTTGATGGTGCTAGTGGAGTGCTTTTGTGCCAGATCTGATGACTCCTTGGGTCTTGTCCCTTCCTTTTTGCTCCCTACTTCATGTTCAGAGATGCTGTTGGACTGCATGGCAGAACTGCTCCAGTGAAGGAAGGTTGTTCAGAAAGATTCATGCACCCACACTGTGGAATACACAGTGGTTAAACAGAGAGACTGCCCAGTTTGATCAGTTCTTAGGAGGAGGATTGTGCTGGATGCAGAAAGAAGTAACTGGAAAAACTTAGGTGTAAGACAGAACAGGAATGAAAGGGAGAATATTTTGTCTTCCAAATTTTGGGGGCAGAGAAGCAGTTACATGTCTAAAACTGGCTGTTGTTCACCCATTACTTTTTTTCCTTCTGCTCAAGGCTCATAATTTTGTCACCGCTCCAAAGAGTTCTTGCTAAGCTACTGCAAACCAGTTGCCCTTAAAGCAGGAAAGTAATTGTGGTCCATTTCTGGTTTATGTGTTCTCACAGCAGTAAATCATAGCAAACACGCTGTGAACTGTTAGGCCTTGTTTTCCAAGGGCCCATGCCATCTTTTTTCAGCAGTGCCTCTGTGTAGCTAGGCAAAAGTATAAGTCCTGCAGAGACCCGTAGCACAGAGTAGAAGGGTGCTAAAGTCTTTATTGTTGTGTTGTTTAAAAGGAGTACACAAAGCCATGATAATTCTTCTAAACCCATGTATTTGAAAAGGCATTTAAATGTTTGTTTGCTGTAAATTTGTATATGAGCAGCATTTAATTTACTAGGTAATTAAAAGTAGGCAGATCACCAGACTAGGTGAGTAGAAGGGTCCTGCAAGCAGCAGGAAGGCATAGAGGTGATTGTGTTAGATATCCAGGTGACCAGACCTCAGAATGAGAGGTTAGTTAAGGTAAGTGTGACAATCCTAAGAAAAGAGGAGACACTTAGAGACTTGTGAGAGTGGTGACCAAATAAGTATTAAAACAACTAACAGTTTTCTTCTGCAAGTGCTTCAGTGCCAGAGTGATAAAACTAGATTCCCAGCTGAGAAAATCATGGCTTCTCTGACAATTCCTTTTAGGGCAAAAAAATCCAAAGCCCAAAACTATTTTGAGGCTAAAAGAACAGCACTGAAACAGTGTTTAGAAGTTCTTATAATTAAATGTGTCAGAAACAGCAAATCTCTGCTAGAATTCAGGCATCCAGGGTTTAAGAAAAATGCCATAGGACAAAATTATCCTAATAAGGATATAGGATATATAGCTATATATCCAGAATCAGAATTGGATACAGTGGGATGTTTCTAGAAGAAAAAATGCTTTTGTGTGGGCAGGTCCTGTTTCCCTTTGTGTTCAATGTGAATTTTAACTCTGGGTAGAAAGGTCTGGGTTGTTTGCACAGATAGCATCTGTTACCAACCAACATTATCCTCTGGTAGTTAAAACAATGGTGAGTGACTGGAGCTAAAGCTCAGCCAACCTTGCACTGTGTTGGACTCGGGGGAACTCATCAGTGGTGGGAAGAATGAGGAATTTCAGGGCAATGTTCCTGGGGCTTCGCCATAAAAGCTGTTTAATGAGTGAAAGTGTCGAGCTGGGGAGTCCTGGATCTAGAGTTCAGAACTGTTAGGTTTAAAAAGGGTAGCAGCAGTAATGTGTCACCACAGTGTCTCAGGTGCCATTGAGGTCTGTGGGCCTCACTTAGACACTTGATTTGGCAGAAGCAACCTAGTGTGAAAGGCAGTTTGGTACAGCCTGAAAGCACAGTTTAAGTCACACTCAGCAGCTGTTTGTAACCTTTGTGATATTTCAGATTTTATCTAAAATTGTATCATAAGATCACATAAACTGATGCTGATTTACATTCTTCTGATGCCTGTTTGTATTGTATCACCTTGTGATACGTGCCATGTGATAGAACTCTTAATTTCTGCCCTCAGGAGTTTAGAAGTTGGAATTCAGGTATGATATAAGTAAATAGGCATTTAAAAGGTGGACAGAAATTGTGCATGCACTATTGCACACTTAGTGCATGATTTATGTACCTGCATTGCTTTTGATCCTGCTGATCATTTTTGTATGATGTTTTAGCTAATCTTTGGCATATCTGTTGGCAATCTGATACAGGTATGGAGTAGGACAGTGTGTTCTGTTGTCTTAAGTTGTGTCAAAAACAACAACTAAGCAGCAAAAGGAAACAAAATGCTCACTGGGTATTTATTCTGATGTCCCAACCTGAATAGCTTTTCGGTGGATTCACTTCTCTGATGTTGACCTCAGCAATGTACTAACAAAGTATTTGAATGGATAATCATGGTAAGATTTTGTTCCATCTTTTCTTTTTCAGATTGAACTCTACAGAGTATGGGGAACTCCGAGAAAAGCTCCGTGCTCCCATCAGCAATGCAGCTAATGTTGTGATTCATCAAAGCCTTAGTGATCTATTTCTAGAAACCTTTACATCTCTGGTGGAAATTAACCAGCCATATTCTGCTCCACGCACTCAGGTGAGACTTTCTACCCATGTGAGACTAATAATCATACTTTTCAATATAGGTGAGCCTGTGATTTCTGTGTAGTTGCTAACTGTGTACTTAGGGCTGTTGCAGGTGAATTATGAAGAGGAATCATCACTGTGGGGTTAACCAACAGGTTTTATTGAATGCTGATTAAATTATAATTTATGATTAAAATTAGTAATTATTATTAAATTGTAATAAACAATAATCAAATGGTAATTAAAGGGCAAACACACTGTGACTTACTACATTCCTAATAATTAAGCAAGCTTGTATACAATATGCTTTAGATCTAACATATAAAGTCACCTTGCTGTAGATACCAGATGCCAGGTGAAGGATCTCTCAACCTTAAGAAGTAACCTTGAGAGGTGTCCTACCCACGGGGAGGTCACCACTGAGCAGCCCTCTGCCATGCAGGAGAGCTCAATGGGCCTGGGGGGCTGCAGATAGTTACAGCTTAAAGGGACTGACTTGTAGTCAAACTCCCCTTTGGTGTACATGCAACTGTGCAGCCAAAGCAGTTTTAGTTTTGTGTAGTTCCATCTCGGGCTGGCACCATTAGGTCCTGGTAAGACTGCCTAGATTCCTTAACTTCCTTAACTAGCACAGTTCCTCAAGGTCTGCCCAGCAAGGCTGACTCCAGCCAGGCCCCCTCTTTGGTGGTGCCTGTTGAGTCACTCTGGGTGCACTCCACCCTGTGACTGCAATGAATTCACTTCACAGAGCAGTGGTACAGTCACCTCTTGTCTCTGTGCTATAAATATGAGGCACTGATAGCATCATGTCTGCTGGAGGATTAAGCAATACATACAAAATTAGTTGAGGTTAATGATAAGATAGTTCCATGCAATCCAATAGCAAGATATTTTTTATGTTTTATAATGAGATGAACTGATTGGGCCAAATCCCAGACTCAAATAGACAATAATAACAATACAAACTACCAGAAGGGCAAACATTATCACTACAGAAGGTAACATGGCATTCAATACATCTGTTGCCATTAGGGACCTAACAGAGTTTCCCACCAGAGATGTTCCCCATCCTTCTTCACTCCTTATGGTATACAGTATATTACTTCTCCATTGTGATGTACAGTCATTAATGTGTTTTTGCTTCATTTTTGTACTTTTTGTCATAAGGCCTCTAAGTCTTTACATTTCAGTAGCTTGTGAAACAGCATCCAGTTCATTTTGATTGGGGAAGGTCTTGATATAGAGTGTAGTTTTCCTTTAACAGTGTGTATGAGGTCACTGAGGCTTGTATAATTAAAGTCTCATCCAGCAGTGTTAACAAACACAGTTCATTGATTGGACACATTTTGGGTAAAATTTCTTTCAACAATTAAGTGTTCACAAAGTGTTCTTATACAGGTTAGTACATATGGACCATTCTACCCCTTTCAGGGACTACAGTGGATTAAATCTGATTTGTTCCTGTCCTGTGCATTTAATAATGTAGGAAATTTTCACAGAAATGTATGGATACATAGTTTGGTTATGGGAGCAGTGGAATAGAGAATAGCTTAATAGGTGGTAGGGGTAGTTGTTGGTGAAGTGTGAGGTCTGGGAGTAGATGATAGCATGACTCTTAAGAATAGTCCATTTTTACTATCTCTTCCTTTATCTGTTCACAGGCACACTGCTTCTATAGTTGTGTGATCAAAGGGAAAACTAATTGTACAATTGGGGCATGAAGGACAGTCACTGCCTAGCAGGGAGAACCCAAAATTGGCTCACTTGGGCTGTCATGTTTATGGAATAAAGTGGTTGGCTCAAATTACACATGATAGGAGAGGTATGTGTGAGACTCCTTGTTCCCACAACTTTCTTTGTTCTTTGATAAATGAGCCTTGGAAAAGCCACCTGCTGTTCATGTGTTAATTGCCTGATCAGTGTTCCAAGTCCATATGGATTGATGCTCACTGTCTTGCTCTACTCCTTTGTGGGTTTCAGAGAAGAGATTGAAACTAGAGTTCATGGCCTGGCTACTGCTCAGGCTTTTACCTCCTTTGGAGCCTGTAACAAGCTGCTGTTACTTTGGGTAAGGCCATGACACTGTGCCAGAGTATTTCCTGTGTAAAAACTAAGGTCATCCCTAATTCCATAGGCTAAAAGTGATACAGCTTCTAAAAGAATCAGTTCTGCTTCCTGCATTCTCCTCACCGCCATGTTGACTCAAGACTTTGTCTACAGTGAACTTGATTTGGGGAAATGACCAGGGTGAAAAGAGGCAAGGAAAGATAATCTGCTCCATAGTCAAGTTGCTGGTGTGGTTCAGCTTGAGCTGTTCAGAGAAGAGACACTGCTGGAGGCTGGAACTACAGGCCACAAAGCAGAGCTGCTTTTTGTTACACCAATAGCAGTATGAACAGGATTATGTCTCCATACTGGTTCAGTGTGCTGTTTTAGGAACTTTGTCAAGTTCTTGCAGAGCTTTGGATGGAAGACACATAGGAAATGCTAATTATTGTTTATTAATTGTAAAACACTTCATTGCAAGATGATCTTCCAATATGCAACTTCAAGTTCACGTGGCATAACTGATGGTGGGGAAATATCAATTATTCCGATATTACTAAAGAAAGAGTAAGTAGATTTCTGGTCCTTCAAGATGAGTGCCTATTGTGTTCAGTAGAGCCTTGATTCCCTCTGTTATCTATGACACTTACTTACAAAGATGGAAGATAGGAACAACCTTTTAGTGAAATAACTGGCAAGAACTGCTGGATTTGTTTTTCTTATTCATATTGTTTTGTTTTTTTTTAAATGGCATATCTGAATCATAAAGATGGCTGCTTGCTTACTTGGTGTGGCTGCTGTGCTCTGGAAACAGATTTCTTCAGATTTTTTTCAGTCATTTTTGTTTAATCAGTCTTGTTCAGCAGTTCTGTTTTTTCTTTTTAAAGAAAAAACATTGTTCTCGTTCATTAGAGGGTATTCTAATAAAATACAGCTCTGGAGATTGAATCCATTTTGTATCTTTTGGTGGTGCCTTGAGGCCCTGCCCAGCTCAGGTTCCATGCAGTTCATAATGTTGATGTTTTTCTCCCCCCTGTAGGAGCTGGAGCCATGCATAGGGTGTATGCAGACCATTGCTAACATCAAGCTGGTCAAGAACTGCCAGGAACCAAACGAAGGGGAATGCCAGCAGTGCTACTGTCGTCCCATGTGGTGCCTCACCTGCATGGGCAAATGGTTTGCCAGCAGACAGGACCAGCAGCACCCAGAGACCTGGCTGTCGAGCCAAGTGCCTTGTCCAACTTGCCGAGCCAAATTTTGCATTTTAGATGTTTGCATAATACGGTGAATAACACTTGGGTGTGTTTTAACTTTTCAAATTTGAATGCGTTTCATCGTGGGTTTGGTTAAAAGGCTGTTTGATTTGTTTCTCAAACTTCAGATTCTACCAGGGTGCAAACTCCAAAACTTTCTTTTACAGTGTTGAAAACAGATGTAAATCTTTTCAGTTCCTTTCTACTTTTACCTGTATCTTTGGGCTTTATTAATCAAATGTCAGATTCTGGAATTTATTTATTTTTTTTACTGTATGTTTTGGTTTCTTATGTCTAGGATGGGATAAGGGTATCCTCTATATTTGTAGCACTACTCTCTTTTCAAGTTTTAATGTAGGTTAAATTCTTAAAATTTTTAAATTCAATGTGAGTTTTGATTCTTTAGTAAAGGGCTAACTGAGAAAATTACTTTGGTTAGACTTCATTGATACTTTTTTTGCTCTTTAATCCATCTGTAATGTTCTTATTAATCTTTGCAAGTGTTTACCAAACAAGTACACCAATTTTATTCCTTCTTTGTAAAGTGGATTGGTTTGTGTAGGCTATGGAACTTAATCCCTGAAGGTGCACAGCTCCCATAGGGACCTTTTATTCCATTAACCTGCCTCTCACTTATTTTTTGATGGATGTATTTATTTCAAACAACAGAAGGATTCAGAAATATACTCCATTTACCTACACTGCTAATTCCATGTATCATTTAAGCTGATGGTTTCCAGGAGCTATATTGTTTAGGGTTTTGATGCTTTTTAGGTCATGGGCTTTTTTATTTTTTTTAATACATTTGAAGGGAGTGCAACAAACATCTGAACTGTGTAACTACTCTGAAAGGATTCTCAGCTGTTTCAAAGCCTGTAAGCTAATGTGCCCCTGAAAGAGATGGCAGGATCACAGAAGTGCTAGACACCCCAAGAATGACCAACCTTAACAAGTTTAATTCAAATACTGACCTTAAGCAGTAGTCACAGTTTTAATATTCACATATTTTAATATGCACACTTTGTGATCTGATCTGCATCAGAATAATTTATAAATTAAAATCAAACCATTTTCCATAAATTTAGGAGAGCCCTGCTTCCCAACCTAAATGCAGTGCTCAGTGTTCAAGCTGTCCATCACAGCCTTCCATGAGCAGTTACTTGAGGGAAAGCCTCAAGCTGCTGGAGAGTGGGTGAGTTCTTACACTGACCTGTGCACTGCAGGGGCTGGGATGCCAGTATCTGCTTGCTTGGGTTGTCCATCTTAGAGGGATAGTAACCTCAGGCAGACAGGTGAGTCAAATAGCCAGAGAAAGGAGTATTTGAATGCTTTGGCCTAGGGAAA